AGGGAGGGGGTGGGCACAGCTGGCTCTGCCTCTACATAGGCAGAGCCAGCTGTCACTCACTAGCTCGGTGGATCTCGACAGCATTGTCGGGATCCGTCCTGGCTGCGGCGCTCTGAGTATATCATGGGCAATAGCCCGCGATATATTGAGCTTTTGGGCCCCGGGAGGAGGTTAGTATATGTTCTCCTGTGACCCTAAAGAGAACTATGGGGAAAAACACTTACCCCATAGTTCTCTTTTAAGGTGAGATAAAGGAACAGCAGAACTGAATGCACACGTTGTCAGAATGTATTGGCTAAAACACACCTTAATGCCAAGAATCTAGGGCAGGCTGAATCATTTTTTTGCAGTGCAATGTATAGGACACTGTGGCGCAGTGTGTGTAGCACACTTATAACCACAAAAGTGGTAACAATGGGCCCTAGGGCAAATCTATATCTTGATTTGAGGGGTTAAGTTCAATTTTAGGGTTTGGGTAAATAAAGGGGTGCATTTTGGATCTTCCTATGAGATAGGTTTAGCCCAACTGCAGCCTAAATTTTGTTTTTGGACAGAGTGAAGAAAGCATAAAAACCTCTAAGACTTTTATTTGCAATCTGGATCTCCATTGCAGAGAGAGGTGAGGGAGACCAGCCCAATGAGGTCACACACAGTATTACAAACATGGAAGAAGTATTAACTTGGGTAAACCAGAAAAAAAAACAACCTCTGGCTGGAGTTGGGCTTTAAGGTTAGGGGTCATGGTATAGAAGGGGAACACATATCTTTCACTTGTTTTCAGCCCAATGATGAAGCAGCAGCATGCTGTACATTTTTGCATCCCCGGTAAGTAGGGGTATTGTTCCTATTGGTTCTGCAAATCATATACTCTCTATAGCACCATCTAGTGGCTGCATAGGAGAAGCACAACTGGATTAGGATTACATTGTAAGGGTGGCAAGGGATACAGTCTACAGTCTAGTGTTTGTTTGACTCACACCTACTATGTAATGAAATACAGAGGAGGAAAAGAAGGAAACAGTTCTTGATTTTTTTTTTTTTGCTGTATTTCGGTGACTGTATAGCCAGGTGGACCCCTAAAACGGTAATTATTATTTTGCTGCAAACAAGGTTGTTTCTTTGAAACTGCAGAGGATTTTTAAAGAGAGGGTTTAGCTAAAAAAAAAACAACTTCCTGATGCTCTCCTGTAATTACACATATTTAACCCAAGTTCAACCAAATGCAGCCTGGACTCCATATTTAAATAGTACCTAGTCGTTTGTGTTTCTGAAGACAGACAAGGAGATTGTTGAGTTTGTGTGGAGCGCCTGCCAACTTTTTGGCAACCAGTCTTCCTGCAGGAGAACAGCTCCCTTTTCCTAAATACTGGTTTTAGCCTGGGGCACATTTTACACAATAGTGGATACAACAACCGTGTAAGAGTAAGTCGTTTTTATTAAAAGAAATATGCTTTTAAGATAGGATATCTTTTTGAAGATATGATCAGTTTTTGAAAAATTGTTGGCTTGTTTTTAGCACAGAAAAAATATGAACTGCGTGAATACAGTATTATCATAATTAGCATTGTGCTTTTCAAATGTAAACTATTAAAAGGGTAACACCAAAATACACTGTAATTCAACATATATCTAAACCCAAAAACAAAAAATGTAATACAAATGTAATATATTGCAGCTTACCAGTCCTTAGAAGTGATGGCTGCATTAGTTTTCTATTTTTTTATTAGGATAAATATTTTCAGCAAGTACAGATACAATGCCTGCTGATCTTGCCAGAAATCCAGTGTCCTTGTCACTTCCTATGTACTAATCTGAAATATTAAACAATGTCAGCAGCCTTCCCTGCTATCTTCTGTGAACTGAAATGCACCTCCCACTATGTAATGGAGATTGCATAGTAATCTTTGTACTCCATTTTACTCCATTTATTTACTGATTTGCACTCCAAATCAGGAGAGAAGCCTGAGTGACAACGCTGCTCCTCCACAGAGACAATACTGTGGGTGAGCATTGGCTGCCACCCTAGGACAGGAAGTGTGTTACTGTCAGGATCAAGAACAATATAGTCCAAAAAAAAGAAAACGAATGCAGCTACCACATTTAGGACGGGTGAGCTGCAATATATTACATGTTTAAATATTAAGAGCACCCATGCATATACAATTTGTACAGACATATATGAATATCTATATAAATAAATATATATTTATTACAGTCCACAGGAAAATAATTTTAC